TTCAATTGAACATTAGACAAGAGCTGTAGCATGGCCTCATACTCTTCAACCTCCCAATCGTTGAGATTCCTCATCATATTCACAATCTATTCCCTATTACCATTCCCCCCTGTGCATGCATTCTCCACCACCTTGTTTTTAGATTGAGCAATGGTGAAACCCTCGAGAATTGATCTTTAAGACTATCTCTACCAATCCAATCATCCTACCAGAACATAATTTTATCCCCCTTCCCACCTTCCATTTTACTTGTATATGGAAGTAGCCATATATGATTACAAAAATACACTCAATAATCAAGAGATTTATATCTTGATGAAGCAAATATACAAAAAAGAAAGAAAACATGTTCTGGTTTTGTGGCAGTATATTTTGGATTCTGAGTCCAATCAGCATACATCAAAACAATTATTATTATTATTGTTATTATTATTTTTTTCTGGATTTCAGTTGCAACTACCTGTTCTTTTTTCCCTTTAATGGGATAATGGTTCTGAAAGTTGTGAGCTCCACTGCAATCACAAAAATCAGCTTGTGGAAAATGTACTTTCCTGATATAAGGATAAATATATTTTTCTGGATGTAATGTTTCTTCCTTTTCTTCTTTCCCTTCCGAAAAAGGAGTTTTGTTGCATGACAGGGTTCTAATGAGTTAATGGATAAATTGGCAGTGGAAATGTTGATTTCAAGTTTTCCTAGTTACCTCTGAAAAAAAGAAAAACACTTTCCTAGTTAAATATTTTTACTGCAGAAGTTTATTTTTTGAAATAAATAATGCCTTTCTTGCAGACTTTCGAAGATGGTGATATGGCATTGCTTGATATGGGAGCTGAGTACCATTTTTATGGATCTGATATAACTTGTTCCTTCCCTGTAAGTACATGCATTTACATTAGAGATTGATCTTCTATCATAATATTCCTAAGTCATTATGCATGTTAGATCTTGCTTTTTCTGGGAAGTTACTCTTCCAGTTGGGTTCGATGTGCTGCCTTGTGTTGCGAAAAAGCTTACACAGCACACATATATTAAACTAAAAGTTGAGCAAGAAAGAGGAACAATAGAGAGTTTAATGTGCTTCGGTAGTTTGCCTACATATATGGAGTGACCAGCAAAATTTTCACTATTGTGGAGCTTCACTTGCACAAGCTAGGGTTTTCCTTTATATAGTGGAAGGGCAAAACCAAAATTTACAAGAAGATCCCCATGTAATGAAGGAATGCCCTAGGTTAAAAAAACCACCCTGTCCCTTTAAAGAACAACACTATTGTCAAACAGCATAGGGTTTTTCATAGCTAATGAGGTGGTTGATGGCCTCTTAAAGGATAGGGATAGAGCAGTTCTGTGTGAATTGGACATGGAAAAGGTTTATAACCATGTGGCATGAAATTTCTTATTCTACATGATGGACAAAATGAGTTTTGGTAAAAAGTGGGGCAACTGGATGAAGGCTTGCATCACTTCTTCCTCTTTTGCAGCCCCGGTGAACGGAGGCCCATTGTCTTTTTCCAAAGCTTCCAGAGGGTTGTGTCAAGGGATCTCCTATCATTATTGCTATTTGTAATTGTAACTCATTTTAAGGGTTAGGGAAATGAGTTTGTTTAGAGGCCTTCTGATTGGGAGTGAGAGGAAAGGATGGAAGTAACGCATCTCTTTTTGCAGACAACTCTTTGCTCTTTTGTGAACAGGATTAAAGGGTGCTTCCTAATATCAGGTGTGTGTCACTTTGTTTTGAAGCTGTTTTGAGTCTCAAATTGGCTTGTCAAAATCAGAGTTAGTACAAATTGGACTAAATTGCGAAGCGAGTCAGCTGGCCAGAATAATGGAGTAGGGAGAAGTGAATCTACCTATTAAGTATTTGGGTCTCCTTCTGAGAGGCTAAGGCAAGGAGGTCACTGATGTGGGAGCTAGTGATATACCATTTTGAATCTTGATTAGCTAGTTGAGAAAGAAGTTTACTGTCAAAAGAAAGCAAGCAGATTTTCATCAAAAGCACATTGCCCAACATTCCCATATATTTTGTCTTAGGTTGCTATCCCTTCTAATGTAGTCAAAAGACTGGAGGGGATCCAATATAGATATTTGTGGGGCTTGAGATATTTGAGCTTGAGATCGCTGGTGGATTTTAACAAAGTGCTTAAGGGGAAGTGGCGAAATTCTTGAGGGAGGAGGTAAATTTTTGAAGGAAGTGTTATTTTTCAAAAAAAGTTTTTGAAGGAAGTGTTAATTGCTAAATATGGCAAGGATTTGGGGGGGTTGGTTTACACACTTCCTTAAGGGTTTTCATGGGGTTGGTTTCTAGAAGAAAATTCTTTTGGAGAAACGGGACTTTCAAGAGTGTGTTAAATAGATTGTTGGGTTGGGTCACAAAGTGAGCTTTTGGAGAGATGAGTGACTGGAGGGAGGGGCTTTGATTCGTCAATTTCTTGA